CGAGTGGGAACACGTAGCTTTTTCACGCTTCCCGTTTTGCGGCCTGCACAGGGACGTGACGCCAAGGGACAGGGGCGCCCTGGCGCGTCACGCTATCGCCCGCAATGAGATGCGTCCACATTCACTCATTTGCCTCCTCTACGTGTACCTCTCACGATTGCCAAAGCCTCGAACTTCACCCAGAGTTCACATGATTTTGTCTTTTCCTCTTTTTAAAGAACGGTGAATTTATTAATACATCTCAATCTAAAATGGATTTGAAGTACCTTGCACGTATGCCTTTTTTTAAAACATCCCATGTAGGCATAACCCTAAACATAAATATGTCCTTTCCCGGACGGATGGATGTAACCTCGCACCAAGATTGCAAAATTGACACAAACCAGTAAATTTTTGTACAAAAAAGTACCGGTGTAATTTTTCTTCAAAACTTCTCTGATTTTCGCGTATCATTGCGTGGTTTCGGTGATGTGATGATTAAACATTTTTCAGAGCTGTCTCATGATCCAAAAATCATCAATTGGACCGAGTTTATCAGAAAGGAACCAACCCACATTTTGAAAAAAATTGAGTTAATAATGTTTTTAAGTTGTCGTTTATTTTCAGAATCTGAAAGTCGAATAAAGAAATTAGTTTGTGAAAAGAGGGACTACAGTTTATTTTCTACACGAAGCCTTATGTAGGAATAAAACTTCAAACCTCTTTTTCTCAGTTTTGACTTGATGTGAGTTGGTTTCTTTCTGATGAATTCAGTCCAACTGATTGATCAACTATCAAATCGTTTTCCTAAAAGCTGGGGAACTATCTTGAAGAAAGTTGAGAGCAAGGCTTCCTCGAAAAGAAACAGCGAAATTTCAGAAAAGGTGTGATTTAATTGATTTTGACCTCTCCACCAATTTGATTCACCCTTCCACCACCGAACGAATCCAAGGGGCAGGAGAAAATCTGAACAAGACCCTGAGCGGACGACAGAAAAGTCCCGGGAGATGCTCAGAAACCTGAAGAACGAAGGTGCCAAGGCGAAACATCGACGTTACAGGTTGGCGCCGAAAATCGTAAAGCATCCAGAAAATTTCATCACTGCGCTGATAAAAGAACATATCTACTCTTTGAGATGGCCCTTATCGCACATGTAACTCCATGCTTTTCAGGTTCACGTGGAGATTGACTTACGCTCTTTCTGCGGGCTGACCCGCTTCCGGTGCGAAAAGTCGACGTCGCTGGGGCGGAAGGGTTGATGCCGACATCTCCGGAGAGTTATTGATGACGGAAATAATGCCGCTTGACACTAGCCCGGGAGAAAGAATTAGAAACTCGAGGGTGGGGGTTGGCGGGGGCGCTGACTCATATCGCGGGGGCGGAGGTGGCGGGTTGGTGTCAAAACTCCTTGATTAGTTCTTCTCCGATACTTCCGAGTCGGTCTTTAATAAATTAAGACACATACGTTTTTCGCGTCGGGCGCCACTGCACTGCCCGCCCGACGAATTAACCCTTCGGGGCCCCTGCGCTTGAATTGTTGAATCGTTATCGAATGACCTTGATCGATAAATAGCATTGCCAAGATAGGGAGTTATCGATCAAGTTCATTCGATAACGATTCAACAAGCGACCCGCTGTTCGGATTCGAGGTACCGTCGAGGGTGGGTGATTAATCCCTGAAGCGGAGAAGTCGTAGCTGTTCGTACAACCACAACTCGTGGTGCTACGAAACTGAAATAATTCGTCGTTTCCCCCTTAAAAGAACGTAACTAAATTTCAATGTTGCCAAATTTCCCCTTGTAAATTGCATTTTTACCGGGAGAATATTGGGCATTCCTAACTGAAAATTTTACTGATCATTCTTCAGATCTCATGCAAAAATTAGAGAAATTTTGAACAAAAATTGCCCCGGTAATTTTTGTTAGACAAAATTTACTGGTTTGAGTCAATTTTCCAATCTTGGAATTAAGGTAGCCACAGACCTTGGAATATTAAATTCCCTAACATTTCCCTGATTTCTCTGACACATTTTGCCGAAATTCCCTGGCACTTGAAAATCCGGACTTTCTCAATTGATAGATCGGCTATCACACTCTGAAGGTGTGTAGGTGTGTGGTTGCTCTGAATTGTGATCCTAGACTTATCCTATATTCGAAACTGGAAAATCACGTTTTTTCAAGCACGGTTTTTCAAATTTTCATTGTATTTTCCTTACAGAAGAACGAAATAATGCGTAACAAAAAATTTACTGATATCTAAAAAAATAACCAATTTCATTTTAAATGGAATAATAATATGTTAGCTGAATACGAGGTTTTCTGTGGTTGTCCAACCCGCCAAGGTTGAAAAGAAATAACCTACAAGTTGAAATAGAAAACTTCCCGGCTTTAACGGAGGCCCTCGAGATGAGAGCACCGAGGTTTCTTTTAGGGAATGGAAAAGAATTTTGTCTCAACGACAAACAATTGAAGCCTAAAGCACTTAAATGTCCACATCTTTCATTCAGTAGCCGATGTAATGTGCAAACCAAGTTAAAAACAAAAGGGAGAAGGGCGAGGCGAAAATTATTTAAATCAAAACGAACCCTCGCACGCTTCGAAAACCTCGTTTAGGGCGGATATCTCTTTAACCGAATTATCCTCACCGAGAGGCGAATAAAGAGATCCGAACTTAATTATCGAAAAAAGTAAAAGCTCCGCTTTTAAAACGGGAACAAGAAGTGCGAAAAAATCATCAGCGGAAAAGAAATAAAAATAAACGGCGACGGAGAGAGAGAGAGGGAAAAAAAAATAAAATAAACAAGACGTAATTACATTTATGCCGAAGATAATAATACGAGGCCAAATATTAAGGGATGAATCATAGGTGGACGAGTCGGGGAGGGGAGGGGAAGGGGTAACTTTGATTGTCCTGTGGGGTGCGCTCAGCTGGACCGAGGATAATTCCCGACAGTGTAGGATTCAAACCAAAGGTACCCCGAATTGAAGGTTGTAATGGCTTTTAAAATAAAATGATTTAATGGCCTCAATGATGTGCCGTTTGAGCCGGGAGGGTGGCTTTTGAGGGTGACTTCGGGGGTGTAAGCTCTCCAAGGCTCATCCATTATTCGGTATTGTTGAGGGCGCCCGGCCCGTTCGGCCGGCTAGGTAAATTATGTTTCGTTGAAAATCGCACTTAATCGGGTCAATTTTTATCGCTCGCCGATGTTTTTTTCGCTCGTTTTTTGCTCCTGTTTAATTAAATTTCTTTGAAACGCACATCAAACGATCGCCGGGTACGCAGCCGAGTGACAGGGTCGCCGGTAATTTACCGATTTTTTTTTTTGTACTAAGGAGGAACACCGTATGAGCTTTCGTACGTTGCCAAATTTCTTTCAGTAAAACAACGAATTTTCCTTGAAAACTGAGGGTAGCCCCCCCTTAAAATTTTCCAGTTTAATCAAAGGTGTTTGTAACTCTCTAGGAAAAGCACTCTTAATGTTCTTCAAAATAAGTGTTTTAGCGGGAGAAATTCAGGAACATTTCAATGTTTATACGGCCCCCTTTTTTTAACCTGATAGTGTAAGTCCGTAAAAAAATGGCTCTTACAATTTTTTGCCGACCCCGGTATAATTTAGACCGAGTTCAACAGAAAGGATCCAACGCACATAAGTTGAAACTGAGAAAAGGACGTTTGAAGTATTCTTTCTCCATAAGGCTCAATGTAGAAAATAAACTTCAACTCTTCTTAACACCGACTAATTTTATCTTCTCGACTTTGAGTTTGCGGCAGGAGAATATATACGGCTAGCAAAACTCAAAAACATTCGTAACTTAATTTTTTCGAAAACGTGGGATGATTTCTGTCTGATGAAGTCGGTTCTTTTTAGAGCGTAGAGATCTGCCATGCTGTGGATAAACGCCGTATGAGCCTTCAGACGTTGCCTAATTCCCTTAAATTAAAACCGAATTCTTTAGAAACATTTGGGATATTTTCCCTCCAATCTCCAGATCTAAAATGCTTGAAAATTTCAAGGAATTTATGCCCAAATTTTCCCTGAAATTCATGCTCTACCAAAGGAAATTTGGCAACTATCGAATGTTCATACGGCATTCTTCCCTAGCGAGGCAGAAATTTAGTTAAACGTTCTCTCGTTCAGGAATCGATGGGTTATTCTCATTCTCAGTGAACGAGTTTCCTCTACGATATAACGCTCCAATGTTTTCATTTTACCTCTCGGAATAGGAGCAGATGACGTTGGGGCCCCCGACGTCACGTCATCCAAGTCGGAAACGTTGTAATTTCCCCCACGTGTGACGCACGGATGTAGGTATCCGTGACGCGCGGTTTCGGGGAGGAAGGTGACATTTCACGAGCGGAAGTATCCGGCTCCCGGGTCGCATCCGAAAACGCTTCCATCCCGCGTTCCATTGTTCCGGTGGCGAAATTATTTCGGCGTTTATTAATGTTCGCATTGTTCCCGACCCCGCATGGCGGAGCGGTTACAGCGTCCGCGCTTTTTAAAAGTCGATCACGTTGAACTGGATGCGAGGCCGCTAATTACGTGAATGTGACCGGCCTTTGTGGGGATTGACCAGTGCTGTTTTCGCCTCTGAAAATTTGGAGGAAGTAGGTTTAGAATTGACAAGATTGGGGGGGAGGGGGTGCTAACAGAAATGCAAAGTGCAATTCCAGGGATGTTATTTCCTTTTTTTAATTTTCAGTGAAATTTTAACGCTTTCAAGGGGTAAGATTTAGCTGTTTTTAAGCGACTAATGGCACACTAAGTCCATCGCAGAAGTTTAAAAAAATTTCAGATAGTTTTTTAAATTTCCCGACATTTTATTGTATCAAGTTTCATGGATTGTGCATCTATGGGGGCTACGTGTTAAGGAAAAACACATCCTTACATTTTAAAATTTCCCTTGGTGAAATATTTATTTTTAAAGAAAACTGTAAATATTTTGAAATTTTTGTATTTTCGTAACTTTGATGTCCATCACACCTAAAAACTCACCTTTCTCGTTTCTTCTATGTTCCAGTGGACAGCGATGTCGACGACGTGGTAGCAGGACCCGAGGGGGCGGGCTCCGGGGCGGGGGCGGGGGAGGGTTCGGTCTGCTCGGAGGAGCTCGAGGAGGGCTCCAACTCCCTGGTCATCGACGAAGACGCCGACATCGCCTCGCTCGCCGACGCCGAAGACGCCGACACGAACCACAACACGCCGCCCAAGCGCCCCCCGCCCACCTCGCCCACAGTCAACGGGCGCGCCCCCCGGAAGCCCGACGACCCGGATGACGTCAACGACGGCGATGACGAGGATGACGTCGAGGAGGACTCAGACCACCAGCAGAACATCATGGAAGCCTACGAGAGGCTCGAGTCCTTCAAGGTAAACATCTGAGAAAAAAACGCCCTGTTTATCGATTTTTTCCATAAGTTTAAATGGTTGATCAATGAATATCGCAAAGCACACCACGCTTGGAGAAAAAAACCTCGTGCGTGGGACCCGAAGTTAAGGTCATTATGGATCTCTGAAGTTTTCGGATGGAGCATCCGAACACTTAAAGTCCAGTTGCTGAGGTTTGGATCATACATCTGAAACTTCAGTTCTTACATCTGAAGTACTTCGGTTTTCACATCCGAAAAACTTCGGTTCTCACATCTGAAGTGCTTCAGATGTAAGAACTGAAGTTTCAGATGTGTGATCCGAACCTCGACAGCTAGACCTAAAGTGTTCAGATGCTCAATCCGAAAACTTCAGAGATCCATATGACCTAAACTTCGGGTCCCACGCACGAGGTTTTTTCTCCGTGCGCCACCGTCAGATAAGCATGTCCTTTCTGAATAAAATTCAGATGATTAAAATTAATTGATAGAAGATTGTGAGATGAAAATTGAGAAAAAAATCAATGTTTCACTATGTCTATAATGAAAAAAACGAGGTTCAAAGTAAATCCAACTCGATGATAAGTCTATTTTGAGCCTCTACAACTAGAGACAAGAAACCCTCCATTAGTAGCTTGGAATGGTGGAAGCTTTTACTTTAGGGACTTCAACTAACAGTCAACTGTTAACCTAACCTACTTTGTTGATGGTGAAGAATATGTCGGCAGTTTCGTCATGCAAACAAACCGAGGTTTTTGGCTCATGGCGTACCCGAAGCTCATCAGCCACCAAGTGGGTACGTCAACAGCCGAAAAAAGAGTGATGACTGTTGCTCCCTAATAACTGTCCATGAGGAAGTGTTGAGTCCCCGAAAGTATAAGCTTCCACCTGTCGCCAAGAGGCCATTGGAGGGTCTTTCGTATCTATCTATGACCAGTTCATTTTTTCTAGGGGAAGCTCTCTCTATAAGATGATTAAATTTTGTGTGTTTTGGTTTGTAAGGTGTTAAACGGAATCGAAGAGGCCGAAAGCAACATCATCCTGAACAACCTGAACGTGAGGAGAGGTGGCCCGCGCGACACGAAGCTCAAGGAACTCCTGGAGCGCTCCTACACTGCCCTCAACCTCAACTCCCCCACCAAGTCCCCCGCACCCAGTTCCAGCCCCAATCCCGCTACCAAAGATGCCGATCTTAACCTAGAAAATAGTAATTCAGGTAAGATACCTCACTTTCTCCGTTCTTTTTTCTTCTTTTAGTTTCTTTATTCTGTGGACATAAACTCATGTTACTACAAGTTAACGATACAGTCATTTTCTGAGGGCTTTTCTCCACTTACCTACTGGAGTTTTCAAACTGCCACCAATGCTGCCGTGCTAAGGAAGAACGCCGCATGAACATTCGAGAGTTGCCAAATTTCCTTCGATAAAATGTTTATTTTCCCAGGAAAGTCATGGATATTTTTCCTTTATATTTTCAGAATCTTTAGGTAACATTGGGAGCTAAATTATCTGAAAACTTATGAGGAAACTATTCATAAATTTATCAGGAAATTTGCATTTTCTTAAAGGATATTTGACTACGCCTGATGATTCATACGGCGTTTTTCCTTAGCACAGCATGTGGTATTTGCGATGTACGTACTTTCCTTCCGTAAAATTCGCGAGGTATATATTTGACGATCTATGCCCAGGAATGCAAAATTGCATTAAACCTAATTGAATGAAATTTCATGAATCTTCGTGAAAATACTGAAAAATTCAGTACATTATGAGACGCAGACGCATTTATACAGTAAATCCTTAATTTTGAACTTTAGGGTGCACATAAATCATTAGTCAATTTTTTTTCATTTTTTCTAGAATTTTCGTATAGACTTTGCGTGTTTTAATATTCGCAGCCCCCGAAAACTTCATAAGATTTCACGAAAAATTCAATTGCTTTCCCAGCAAGATGAAATTTTTTATGGAATTTCATTTGACGTCTTTGAACGGAACTAAAAAACCGCGTGAGCGCAGGATGCGATCCGCGTGCGACCCAAAGAGAGCCCGGATGCCGGGCGAATAAGACGCGCGATTTTATTCGCGGGCGAAGACATTTATTGCATGGGCCGCGGGCGGGAGCGGCGGGGGGCGCAGTTGGCGAGAAAATTGTTTACTCTCGCTGGCCGAGTTCAAAGGGAGCGCTTGACGGCCCCTTCAGAGGTGAGGCGGCATCCCGCGCTGCACGCGTTGAAATACGGGCGCGGGCGGCCGTAAACCCGTAAAACGCGGCCACGTGAAACGGCGCGGCGCTCGTAAACACGACGAGTCTCAACTGGCCCGGTTTGGCGGGTCGTCTTACTGTGACGTGTTAATCCGGCTCCCGAGCCTAGCAGAGGTGTGTTCGCTCTTTGACTTCCGGGGTCAAATCCCCGAAGATGCGGGTGAATCGTTTAGTTGAAGAAGGACGTAACTGCAGAGGTCTGGCGGTCTGGAAAACCGGGAAAGTTAGGAAAAGTCAGGGAATAGTCAGGGAATTCACACCAAAAGTCAGGGAATTTAATGTGCTCAAAGTTCAACAGAAGTTCGTGTAATTTAAAGGAAAAAATTCAAAGTTGAAGTTTTATTCAAATGTCAAGGAAAGTCAGGGAATCCGACAATTTTGAAGTCAAAAAGAGCAAAAATACTCATATGAAGTGAGGAAATTTGAAGATGCAGAAATTGTGGCAACCCTGTAAATGTCAATTTAATCGGCAACGCGTTTTTTGCCAAAGCGCGAGGATTTCTTCGAATCCATCGAAAGGATTTTGCCGAAAACTGTAGCTGTCTACGTGAAAGGGGATCGAAGCTGAGGCAAATTTTGCAGAAGATTTAATTTTTGTGGAATTGGTTCAAAAATTGGAATTTGATCGAAACGAACTTCCTGGTAGCCCAAAGAAGTATTGAGCTATTTAGTATTTAGTTAATTCCTGTGCAAATTCCGCCACACTGAGGGAAAAAACCGTCAACGGTAGGTCAAAAAGTAGACCTAATTCTTTCGAAAAAATCCCTCCTTTTAGTAGCTGTCCAGCGAACCGGTCAACTCTTCCCAATTCAGTTATCATGACCTCCTGCTACTAACCCACAACAAACGCATCACCGAGTTCCCCTCGACGCCCCAAAACGAGGTCGGTCCTGCTATCAGGAGTGACGCTATCAGCGAGGACCGGGGTAATTCGACACGTTAAATCCGTGACTCGTCGGTCGGTGGCACTGGCACGTTATCAGGGTCCGTCCGGTGAGAAGAGGAAGTGCCGTGGACGAAGGATGGAGGCAGGAGGTTGGAGGTTGGAAGCTGATGGCAGGAGGCGGGTGCTTTTTCGAGCGCTTTCCGATCCAGCTTGCCGGCCCGATAAGAGCCCCGAACAAAGACAGCTTCAGGAAATCATCTCCCTAATGAGCTCGGCTAATAGTGTCGTTGTGGCCTTCGCCGCGTTGCCATCGCGCCTGTCGTGGTTTTAGAGGCGGAATTGACGTTTATGCTGAAGGAAACTATTAGAGGTGTACTTAAAAAAAGTTACGGGCTACACAGACATACCGCCCGTTCTGGGCTCAGAGGTCGAAAGTTCCGGGTGCTGAAGCCGTAGCTTCCATTGCTTCGGGTGCTACGCCCGGAACTTTTGACCTCTGAGCCCGGAACTCGAACGATACGTCTAAATACCCCGGAAGTTCCACGGCCATAGTTTTTTCTCTCATTTTTTGCAGCGTGGTAAAATAGTGCTGGATCCGCACTATCTTGCAGGGGAATCAAGGCCAAAAAGTTCAAACAACTTCAATGAAAGTCAAAAATTTTTGACTTTAATTTTGCCAACCAAAGCCTGAGAACTATTTCACACTATGTATTTTTAACCATCTGACTTATATTTAACTGTCAGGGAATTTTACCAAAATTTGTCAGGGAAAGCAGGGAAATGTCAGGGAATTTCATTTTCTAAAATCTGTGAAAACTCTGTCTTACAGGGAAAAAACTAGCCTAAACTAACTTAAAACGCGGAACTTTTTAACTATGTTTATTGTCATTCATGAGGAAAAAACTAGGATAGTCGCCAGAGTAACTACCATGGTTGTTGTTGTGACTACCGGGTTAGTTGTGTCCTCTAGCGCGGTAGTTACCTTAACTACCGCACGATATCTGGCGCAAAGTATAGTCGTCACAAAAAGCCGCTACTTGTGACGACTATCCTATTTTTCCCCGTGTTCTGTAACATTTAATAGGATAAGGCAAAAATGGCCGGAAGTCAACAATCATATCCATTTAAAAGTTGTACTTTAAAGTCGTAATTTTGACGTGACAACAGAGTGTTCTCAACACAACAGTTCTCGGCTACTTTCGGGAGTATCTGCTCCAGTTCCGCTGCCCAAAGATCGAGGTCGACAGCGGCTAATGGCGGCTTATAAGTTGCCTGGCGCACAGTGGATCGAGTCAATTAGAGAGGTCGGACATCAATTTTTTTGACTCAAACCACAAATTTTGATATTTAATTCGTCAAATTGTAAAGTTTAAGGGGTGCTTCTAGCAGAAATTTTCACGAGAAAACCGCTGAAACCAGTTTTAGAACCTTAACGTTTTGTATAAATGGAGTTATAAGCTTTTAAAGTTTCAAAATTGTGTCCGACCTCTCCAATTGACTTTGTACACTGTGCGGCGTGGAACAAGACGATAGTCCTAAACAGATTGTCGGAGAGAAGTTACCCGGTCCGCTGATCCAGCTCCTTAACGAGACTGGAGCGGTGAGGCCACCTCAGGGCTATTTAAAATCAATTAACGGGTGGTAGTTTATCGCAGAGACCAAGAGGGCTATTGATTATTATTAGCATCGTGAAATGTTCTTGAAGTGAGACATTTCAGGCCCTATTCATAATCGGATTACATTTTGCAATTGGAAACTACGATATCTGCCACCGTAAAAACACTTATGTGCACTGAAAAAAAGTTCGGTCGTATGTACCAAAGTTCGGTGTTCCATATCATCCCAACTAATTCGATTTTTCGAACTGAATTTTCGGTTTATCAAACCAATCCTTGTTAACCGAACTCGTTCGGTTAAACGACAAACAAAGACTGACGAACAAAGTTTGGTCATATATGCCAACGTTCGGTTAGTGCGATTTTACAAAAATTAAACTACTTTTGAGACAGCATTCTTCCAAGGCCTCAAAAAATTATTCGAGCAGCGGGCTGAATGCTGAAATAATTGATGGACACAGCTATAGACAAAGAGGACATAAAGAGATGGAGGGATCCTATTTGTGGAAGCGGGTGGTTGCAATTGACAAATGAGATAGATAATAGACTAACTAACGGCAACTCGCGAGAGACCCTATTATTAGTCTGTCATTTTCTCCTTTAGCCTACAGGAACCAACTTTTAACCAATAGGATCGCTCCATACTCCTCATGTCTTTTTTGTCTATCGCTTTGTCTATCAATTTCAACAATCAGCCCGCAGTACGGTTCACTGTGCTCTAGTTCTCACCCACGCCCGCCCCTCAAAAATACCCTATGAGAACAATTGCCGGGCAAATTGCGCCATAAAACAAAAGACTTGTTACCATCCCGGCGGAGGAGCCATGAGCGGAGCCGTAAATAACGGGGCTGGACCGTGTTATACGGGGTGGATGCCCAACACGGCCGCCCTATCAGGAGCCGCGCCTCACTTCGACAAACGGAACGGTCTCGATTTACATAACTGCAAGCAGAGAAGCCATTAAGTGCAAGCCTACGAGAGGGGTATTAAGATTAAAAAACAAACCCTTAGAAGAGCTCCTTCAGGAACCCCGATACAAAACCGCGTATCTCAAAAACTTAGCTTGTGCTATGGTGACCCTGCGTTCTTTCCTTGGTAATTCTTATTTGGACTGAATATAACAGAAACGCAGCAAGTCGCATTTTGGGAAATTAGATGAGGTGGGATCGGTTTTGAATTAAACTATAGTCGTAAAGTTCCTTCGGTCGAAAATTCCAAGTCGACAAGAAGTATTTTGAACGTGGAAATAGTCGTTAAACTTTGTTCAAATCATTCAAACCTTACGGAGGTGTACAACTTTAAACCTCTATTTCTCGGCACATAATACGACTTGGTTGATTTACGTCAAACTCGGGTAAGTTGAACTAGTACTAGTTGTCGCTAAAAGTGCGTATGTCCATTTATCAAGTGAACCTCATATTGCAAGTAGGTATTCTTATGGAACCCAGAGC